TTGAGCCCAATTTACATTATTTAATGCGAGCTACCAAATGAGCCCAAAATTGATATGCTTTTGGTCACTCTATAAAAAGTTAAATATTTGACACATTCAAAACATAAGAATTTAAAACATATTTTATTTTTGTCCCTCAACTTTCAAATCATAAAATAAAATTTATAAAACAAATTATTTTATTCTAAATTTTCGGGGTGTTGCAGGACGGATCGAGGATTTATCTAATGACGTTGGAGTTTTACGTCGCCACATGAAAGATCCTCAGGATGCGATCGCAGCCCTCCGAGGCGATATAATAGGCATGAGACGGGGTGACGAAGGGGTCATTTCTAGGTGGATGATGTTGCGTTGCAATCATTCTTTTTGTTCCCGGATGAGGGTAGAACGGAGGCAGTGGTCTCGGAGGAGGTGGAGTGCTTCGACGGGGTGACCCCGATGGTGGTGGTGGTGGGGAGCCCCGAGAAAAAGGTGGTCCCCGAGGTGGAGGACGAGCGTATGCCTGACGTGGCTGAGGGGAAAAGGCGTGTCGTTGACGTCCCAGAGTAGGTGGTTGACAAAAGGGTTAGGTTGCCTTCGTAGTATGTCGTTTCTCCCTTCACAGTCGAGGAGAAGAGGAGGAGTTCGTCGACATGATATAACCCAATCTATTCCGCGAGTTGGACGCATCCAAATGGAAAGCGTTCGAGGCGAAGTGAAAGGTAATTAAGCCCAAGTATTTTACAATTTTAATGAAGTACAATATTCTAACTCATCTATACCTTTTTTAACATTTTTTCTATTTTTTCAGAGATAACCGCATCATTGGGGATAAGAAGACCTCGAATACCTATAAGTGGTTTCACAACATCACCGCTTCGGGGCTAGCCAGCTTGAGCAGTTCTGCGATTCCGCATGTCGATCGTGAAACCACTGCTGCAGCTTGGTACATATGTTCTCAATCATTGCGAGAATTGACAACTCTCGATCCTTCTTGAACAATGCATTCAGAGACTCCATGTTGTTCGACGTCATCAAGTTGTACCGACGTCCTGAAAAATGTGATCGCACCCAATGTTCTATCCCCATTTTTGTAAGATAATCACATGCCCGCAACTACTTATTTCCTATTTCGACCATAAACTTATTACATTTCTTGACACTGTAAGCTTAGGCCGCCCTCCTGAATAATGAAACGGTGTTTTGGCCCCAGTATCTAGTCTTCAGATTACCCTGTATATGGAACATGCAGTACCCATGATGTGCCTCTGGGAAAACTTCGGCGATAGCATTTATTAGAGACTAACCCCGATCAGTTAGAAGACA